TTAAACTCCGCTGCGTACGCAGCATTGCACGAATGTGGTGGGGCAGCCGGACGAGCAATGCTGAGGTCAGGCGCAAAGTTTTAGACAACCGCGGTCGCCTACTGGAGTAAGTGGTCGACCTCCATAGATTACGTTGTTTGGGGCATGTATTACGCATGTCACCAAATGGGTTGCCACGGCGAGTGATGTTTGTCGAGGCAGGTAATGAGTGGAATAAAGCTAAGGGTGGTCAAGCTAGGACCTGGCATGAGAGTAGGAGAACCCTAACCAGGAAACTGGGTCACATAGATCCTGTTAGGCTCCCTGGCTGGGGACCTCGGGATGGTCGTAACCGATGGTTAGAAACACAGTGATATGGCTGGGTGTCGTAAACAGTGGCGTTCGTGCATCTCATCAGTTTCTTTGCAACCTTAGACCACTGAACTTCTCCATTTTCTTTTCGACTCCACTTTCCTTTCTTCTCCTATTCTTCATCCAAATGGGCAGCCAAAAGACAGCAACCAAAACCGGCGCACGAAAGTGCATGGTTAATAGTTGTTCAAACTGAAACTGAAAACTGAATATCTCAAATTGCATTATTGTGTTAATAACAGGGCTCTAGTCCCGCTGACACTCACGCTGTGAACCAACAACAGCGTAGTTCAAGTGGAGGGATTTTCCTTAGTCATTTCTTTTGATACGAGCCCCGGCTTGTAGCATATAAAGAGCGCACTTTTGGTGAGCTTCGGTAATCTCTATACCCTAACTTGCTATATCGCCCGTTGGAGGAAAAGGCCGCTTTCTAGACTACCGTGATCCATAGAAAATAAAGTTAGAATTAGTATCGTCAAAAGATTTCAGTCCGTTTACTCGCCTTGTATCCCTGGCCTTTACAAAATACTAAGCGCAACCTGCAAGATTGGCGGTTTCAATTTATGCAACCATTCAATTTCATTTGATTTGTTTCGTTTGTTGTCTTTTGGCTTCTCCTTTAGATGGTGCCGCGGAAGAAAGATTAGAAAAACGAAAGTGAATTCAGAGAGGAAATTTAAAAAATTGGTTGACTAAGATTGAAAAGAGATTGAGACGATGCTAGAACGCCGCTCTTCACGACACTTCATCGTATCACTCATTGTCTTTAAATGTTGATTAAAATTATCCCGAGGTTCCTATCCAAAGGAGGCTAACGCGATGTATATGGATGAGTCTCCCGGTTATGGTTTACTTATACCCTCATGCCAGGTTTGAGTTTTACAAATCTTTGCATTTTCCCACCGCTTATCTGCATCGGTAAACGTCGCGCACCGTAGCAATCTCTTTGGTGGTATGCGTAACTGTGGTGATCGTGCAACGAATACTCACGCACCGCGGTACAGCTTCCGGCTA